CCACTGTTGGCAAGTCAAGGACTTATCACCCCAAGTTTGGCTAAGTTTAAAAATTACCAATTCCATTCAAACCACCTGTTTTAGGTCAACTTACAAAATAACTCTCTATATCCCTGTTACCTGCAGGGCTCTGTGTCTGGGGCTTTAGTCTGGAAAGCTACAGATGGTCACTGGGTTTGTGGAGTGAGGGGAGATGAAACAGAATCTCCCCTGACCCCCAGAAGCCAGTTGGTAATTCAATGGCCATGCAGGAGTTTTTGCATGTTCTCCAGCACTTTGTGTTGGACCAGCAAGATGATTTCTCATATTGCAAGTTGTACATGAAGCTGCTTCTAAGTGCTGCTGGCCATCTTTGCTGCAGACACTGCCACACACCATTAGTGATAGTGCATAAGTAAAAATTCCATGTGAACCTGAGAAGCATTTATACTTTTGTAATTTATTTTGAATCAAGATTCATGATCAAATGTGGTTTGGGTTTTTTTTCCCTGCACACCTACATAGAACTGGGTTTCATAAGTAAGTACTAAGAAAGATATAGAGCCCATATAGCCCTAATTTTTGCAACTAAATACACACTTAACAACTTGTTCATTGCCATGTTATACAATCAATACCCTGACTAAGTTCATACAATCAACACCTTGATGAATGTTACCAGAACATATATCATCAGTGGTCATTAGTAGCTTGATGAGAAAATGCACAGGCTGTCAGGTCTGAGAGCTCTTCTCCCTGCTGTTACTGCCTTTCAAATGGGCTACCAGCACAATTTAACCCTTTTCAGACTTAAATGCAATCCCTCTCAAGAAAACAATTTTTGAAAATGCCAGTTTCCGAAGTGTTCCAACCTGCTTGTGCAATTTTTAAGTCAACAGTAAACTCGTCATACAAACCTGCTACCCTGTGTTGCGGGCCAACACAAGGCAAGGGCTGGTAATATGGGTCTAGTGGCCTTAATAAAGCCAAACTGATTTCCAGCATCCAATACATGAGATTAATGTTAGAAAAGTCAAAAATATAATCTCCATTAAAATGAAGTGTCTTGTTACACACAAAATATTTTTAACAAGAAAGGTTGTGTTTTGGAGACAGCTAAGTTTTAAATGACTCATTATCACGACTGAAACAAGTCCTTGGCTTCTTTCTAGAAAAAAATAAATCCTGCTTGATTGCTCACACCATGTTAGATGGATGCTAACATCCATAACATGCCTACCCAGGAGCGAGGCTCACAAGCCCCTCAGTTCAGCATCTCTGTTCCAAGGATTCTTCCTTGCACAGGTGAACCCAGACATACATGTTTTACTGAAACTATTCAAATTTCACTTTACCTTGCTTATGAAACTCCTCTGCTGCCAGTAGGAAAGGGTGTAAATAGTTGTTGCCTTAAACATGAATTACCTTCTTTTTAAAGGTACTTTTTTCCCCAGGGCAAAGGCAGCTTGGGGCCCCATCAAGACAGTAATGCCCAAAGTCCACATATGAATTTATCCCTGGGTTAGTCCAGCACTGGGCAGTGCCCTGTGAAGTTAGGCTGACACGTTCTCCTCTGTTGATCCTAGTGTGGTCAAACAGGCTTTTACAAACACAGGGACACAGCCAGTGTCCTTGTGGCAGTAACTGTGTGTCCCCTTCACTCATGTGCTCTTATAAAATGAGGTTGTTTATGTCTGGACTTAATCAATCCCTCCAGTTTTGTGTTACATGGATTTAGTGGCATCATCTGTGGGAGACACAACTGCCGGCAGTCACAAAGCCTGGGAACGGGTGCCAACACCACCACAGGCAACAGGAGAGACCAGGGACATGTGCTGTCTCTGAAAACTGTCCAGGGGAGGGATGGGGACACCTGTGCCCCACCTGCAGACCCTGCAGACTGTACAAACTCCCACTGAACTGACAGGGCGTGTCCTCATGGACTCTGCACAGCTACTGCTTCCTTCTAGAAACTGCCACAGTTTTGCATTTTAAACCACAGATGGAAAGACAGTTGCTGAAATTTTAAACACACCCAGAGGCTGGCAGAGGAAAGTAACAGCTACTGCTTTAAATGTGACCTTCCCAGTATTTTACTTGAAATAATAAGGGAAAATGTTTATCCTGATGATGATGATAAGCAGCAGCTCTAAAAGCATGGCTGTTATTAAAGTTCTTAATTTTCAAATCCTGACTCTATTCTCATGACAACTTTACACTTATACAATGCATACAAAAACAACAGCTTACTAAGAACAACTGTGTAATTTTATCACAAACATAAGACACCCCAGAAATGCTCCTGCTGAAAACCCAGTTTGCCTGTTTCGAGATCTATTGGCTGAACAGAAAAATTCAACGGCCTCATCAATTCTAAATAAGGTAGTGACTTGTGCATTGCCTTAAGTGTCATGTGCAAGTTACCTCCCTGCTTAAAGATGATCACAGTATCATTATACATCACTTCGCTCTTTCTTGACAAGACTGTCATTCTTTTCCTCCTCATTAATTTCATCAATGAGCTGAACAAAGCAGGTGTTTTTGAGACTGTTGCCAAAACTGAGCCATGGCATGCTCAATTGCAGGATCTGGGGCCACTGTGGGGATCAGCAGGAAATGGATCACACCTGGTTTCATATATTCTGCCATTAGTGAAATGCAGGTGTCCAAAGCTGAAATTTGTGGTGGGTCAGTGCAAGAGAGTGTAGCATTTCAGGACAGCTTTTTGGCCAAGGCCGTTTTATGAAGGTCTTTTAGGCAGGAAAGTGAAGGTTACATGGGATGAATGATGCCTTCACCCTTTTACAAAAAAACCATACTTGAGGCCAACAGGCCAAGACAATGTCTGCAGGGTATCAGACACATATCTTTACCTGCAGTTGAACTGAGTGAAGAAGTCGCCCCAGGCTACGTGAAATTTCATAATCTGAACCATTTTGGCAAAACTCAGTGGAAAAAGTGGTGAACTGCATCAGCAGACCTGAAGGGGCAGGAACAACAGCTGGGGAGAGACTTGATGAGTAGCTTCTGATGAATAGCTCGGAAGAAAGTAACCTCAGAGATCATTGACAATGACATGTCTGTCTGCTGTGCAATTTATCCTCCTGTCAGCACTGCTAAAGGACTGCTTATTATCATCATCATCTGCATGCCTTAATTGGGTCATTGAACTTGTCCCTCTCCAGCCAGGGTCAGGAGTGTTTTGGCTCAGGTGCTGCACAAAACACAGTGAGATGTGCATGGAGCAGTGTTTGATGCACCACATATTTCCCACATATGTTCAGACAAGGACATGCACAAGTCGAGGCTCTCTGCCCACTATAAGTACTATACTTAAATACAGAGAGCAACAGTGCCTGAGGTGCGATAAAACCAGCCTACTAAATCCTGAGGCTAGCTGCTGAAATTAGGACAAAAGGAAACAGCCTCAAGTTGCACCAGGGAAGGTAAGATTTCTTCATCAAAAGGGCTGTCAAGCATTGGAGCAGGCTGCTCAGGGATGTGGTTGAGTCACCAACTCCAGAGGTATTTAAAAAAGATGTAGATGTGGCACTTAGGCATGTTGGTTTAGTGGTGAACTTGGCACTGTTCAGCTAATGGTTGGACTCAATGATCTTTGAGGTCTTTTCTAACCCTAAAGGTTCTATGATTTTATGAAATTCCCACTTCTGCTATAATGACAATTACCATTCTAATCTAGAGCCTATCATCAGAGTTCTGAGCATTGATTTCATTGCAAGAGTTCATATTTCATGCTTAAACTTCAATTTTATTCTGGTCAGTTAATTATGTTCACTTTGTATGGGGCAAGTTAATGTTCAGGGCCTGAAAAGCAGTTTTCAGAGTGGATTTACTGCAGGGAGGGTCTGTGCATGGTTTCCAATTGATTAAATTTGTCCTAAGCAGCAAAACGTTAAAAATGGTTGGTTCCATTTAAAACTCGCCAAAATCTGTTGACTTTAACTTTTGATTGTATTAGGTTCAAAGAGAGAAACAGAAAATAACATGTGATATTTCTAACAGTACTCACATCTAGCTTGACTCCCCTGACATCAGTTACGAGACTCTAATGGCTGCAAGATGGATATATTTAAGAAAGGGATGAGCACTACAGAAAATCCAGCTTTAAAGGTCTTGCAGGGACAGGTTACATTCTCCAGGCACCAATCAAAAGCAATGTATTTGGCTTAAAAATTTGTAACAAAATTACTAGAAATCTGTTCTTTTGCTTCTTGCTCCTTTTTAGGAGGAAAACACCTGAAATTTTTCTGTAAATTAGCATCCTGGAATTTCCCAGGTTAAAACCTGAATGCTAATCAGATAATCCAAAAAGGAATTTGTAAAGTCAACTATTGGCTACAGCTTCAAACTAGGATTTGAAGGTTAAACTTCTTATTTTCACCATTATCATTAGAAAAATAACAATCACAGATCTAATTCCCTTAGCCATATTATACCAGTTCCCTTGGCCTATTTATCTTATCTCTCAACAATTTTATGTACAATTTTAAAAATGGAGCTAAAATGATGATTCCCATACAAAATAAAGTCACCTTGTGTTGTGTAAATGTCCTGCCTATTCTGTTATCAACCCTCTTGGCATCTTTCTACTGTGTATTTAATCTTGCGTGTGTTCCACTTGCATCATATGTAAGCACTATCCATGCCTAGCAGTGAACAATCCCAGGAGGAAGGTCCCTCAATGGCCTGACCTCCTGCTTAAAAACTGCAAAAATGATATTCAATGAGATGTGAGTAATGGTATTTCAAATAATAAAGGCAGAAAACTTTCCTGAGCGTAGCTTTGTTTCCTGAAATGGCTTTTTGATGATCACAAGTCAAAACATGTTCATGAATATATGGTTTTACCATGCCAAGAATGAACCCATGCTGATGAAAATGTTATTGATGTATCATAGCACCATCAACACCTAGAGCATGCTACTAACATAACCCTGCTACTGCAATGTGGATTCTGTTAATGCAGAGTGTGTTTCTTAAGTGTTTTTATACTACTGCAGTGCCAAGCCAGCCACCTCAACTTAAGCCACTTCTGAAGGAAGTTTGGGTAAGCAAAACCTAGTCTCCCCCCTTATTTTATAATGCACGTGTCTGCAAGTCATTCAGAACTTTGTACAACAAGTTGTGTAACACTTGTGTTATCCTGTTTGCTCCAGCTCCATCTTTTACCCACTCCAGTTGATACTAATTCATAATGCTCACCTATTTTGATAGGACTTGTTACTGGCTGAGGATGAAGTGATTACCCTGCATTATATTGAAGCCACACGTTGAGGAAGACCGAGAAGGTGAGACATGATTCGTGTAATTACTATTATCAGCTGTCTAAATCAGGAAAGAGCACAACCATCCCCTTCTCCCCAAATTCCCATATTTCTATTTAGGAAATTACCTAGTCTAGTAAGATAGTCTAGTGAGATTATCTAGTCAATAAGGTCTATCATTACCATGATCAGATGGGAAAATGCATGATATATAAATTTCAGTGTAGTCTTTCCTATTCTGGATGACCTGTACTTGATGGGAAACCAAAAATGAATTTAAACACTGTTCTCTGCAGAAGTGCTGATATAGGTAAGTGTGTCCTCCCCATTAACTGCCTACTTTAGAAAGCATTCTGCTTGGAAAGAGCTTCATTCAGGATAGACTAGAAGCTCACAAGCTTTTGCCATAAGAAGGACAGGAGAAGCAATGTTCTGCAACTGAAAAACAAAACCACAACTAGAATCATCTGTTAATCATTACATGGGAAAGATAACGATATTTCACTTCTTGTCCTTCTGAAGAAAAATCTTATATATGAACACAGTGATTTAATTCAATAATTTAAAATGTCTGTCAAAGGCTTTGCTGGACTCTGGTGCAGGAATTTAAAACACAGTATCTATCTGTCTGTCTACACAAATATTACAGTAATATGTTCCACTCTGCAGTGCTACCAGTAGTATCTCAAAAAGTTCATAACCTACAGTTTTCTTTTCAGCTTTTCTGATTAAACTTTTTCTTCTAACTCTCCTGGAGATTCCAGATCATAAGCATAACACATCCTGCCTGTTCATATAAAGTCTACTCGGTTAGTCAAATTTATTACAATAAAAATAGCTTCAGAATTTTCAGTTTACCCTAATCTCATGCACTACTTTATTGCAGCATTCTAAGCTTTGTGTATACCACGTGAACACTGCAACAACAGGGGGCCCAACCTGCAACCCTGCTTTCAGCAGGAGGCAGAGATTCCAGGAAAAGCTGAAAGTGGCTCAACATGTTCCCTCCCCCTCAGGTCACCGAAATAAAAATCAACATAAAGCAAACCACAGTTGGGATGTGAATGTTTGTTGCTGAAAGTACATTAAACTCAAAGCATTTGGCTTAGTCTGTAGCTGGGGTTTTGTCCTTTTTTTTTTTTCCTTTGTGCACTGACATTTGACCCTTTTTATAATATGCACCTTGCACCACTGAAACCCAGTTAGTTATTAATTAAACCCAGGTACCAATGGCTGACTTGTACATATCACCATTTTAACTGCCTGGCGCTGCCCGTGCGCGGAGGAGTGGGGGCTGGAAGTCAATCTCTCCCCTGTGAAATTCTGTCATATCGGCAGAAAGGAGCTGCAAAGTGCAGCAATTTGTACCTGACCTCTGATCTAAGAAGTTTGTACAGACCTTTGAACAGTTGGGTTGGAGAATTGAGAAACAAGGTTTACAAGTACAAGGAAGAGATTTTCAGCACTCTTCACCTGTGCCCAGTGTTAATATTATAAATTAAAAAAAATGTTTAACCAAGGCAGGAAATCTCTCAGAGGGAAACTTTCCTGTGCTGGGTTAATTCAAGACAATGTAAATCTACTGAAATTACAGCCCGCTTGGAAATATCTATGGTTTTGAAAATGAAATTTCTGTTCACCCTCGAAAAGGAGTGGGGTTTGAGACACATATAATTTGAAATTCACCTTTTGTTGACCTTAAGTGAGATTATTTCTCTTTTAATTAGAAGCTGAAGAAAGAAGATAAGGATCATTTGATTCAACATAATTTTTTCAGCAAAGACTGGAGGTGAAACGCAGAATTGAATGGAAATCATTAAAAAGAGTAGCAAAATGGTGGCTCCTTTGTTAACTTTATTTTTATGCAACATATTACCTAATCTTGATTATACAGTACAAAGCTATATGAGAAAACCATGGAAAAATAATCAAACCAACAACATTACAACAAATTCTTGACAGACAGTCATGTGGCCTTGTCTTGACAAACATAAAGGACATGTTTTGATGTTCTGTTGGATTAACCATGTCAATTTAATTAGAAACCTCTCTCAACTCTTACACATACTGGCAAGGTCTTTGGTGCAACACCATCAGCTAACACCAACTGCAGACTGCATTCGGTGTGAAGGCTTTAATAGATCAGTTGTGATAATATGACTGAAAAATATGTCCTTTCTGCAACCCAGCCTGCCAGGCCATGGAGCACTGCAGGGGACAGCAGTAACATTTGCCATGACATCCCTCACATATTCTGAGCACAGGCTTGTCATCCATGGCAAGCTTTTGGATGTGCAGAGGGAGAGGAGGTGCTTTACAGATACATTTTGAATCATGGTTTCAATCCCACCTAGCTCAGGACAGGACAACATTACATACAGCTGCTGCATCTGGTCCACATGTAAACTGACATTTTAGTCATTGGTTTTAATTGAACCTTACTTTCAACAACTACATTTCTTTTTTTCCTGGTTTAAGTTCAAACTTCACTATTGTTATCAGTGTTGACCCCAGTAAAACAATAAATTAATAATTAAATAAATAAGGATGAACAGATTATTGTCATGTGTCCAAAGTCACATACAAGTCTTAGATATTTCACATGCTGCTTAAGTAGAATATGAATATCAAAGAAGACTTTCTTTAATGCTTTCAAGATTTCAGTATGCAAATTGAGCTGTATAGATTCATTTGTGTTAATAATACTTGCATATATACCCTGTTTACTTAAACCTTCCTAGCGACCTTCAATCTACAAATCCCAAATTCTGCACCAAAAACTGATAATCCACTTTTAAAGTTTGATTTTTTATGTCAATCTCTTGAAAAAGTAGAACAAAATACCAGGCGGCACAGACAGTGGCAGAGACAGACTGATTGAAAACACAATGTCAAGCAGTTGCAATTGGCTACCTTTTGCTTCGTTAATTTAAGATAGCAGAAAAGATATATTGGAAACATGATTTTGTTTTCTTCTGTCTAAAATATCAGTGGTTTATTGTTCATTGTTCTGACATTTGTTTTGGTATTTGCTATGCAAATTCTTTTTGGTACATGTTGATCTCACAACTCAATCTTACAAGCAGTTGTTTAATTCTCAAACAACCCCTTAGGACCCTCCAAAGGAAGGCAAACCCCTGAACCCATACCTTGATGATGACATACTTTTGGTCTCAACACCCTGATAAATGAAAACCAGATAAAAAGCCCTAGAGAGCAAACAAGATTTCCCTTACCTCTCTGCTCCTGCGATCGAAGTGCAACAGGTTAAGGGGACTCACGCCTTTGCCCGAGCAACCTTTCTTCCTAATGGCAAGGGCTGTGCAACCTGGTTATAGAGTTTATGCATCTCTTTATTGGCCAGCGAGCGTTAGCCATTTAAATTCCTTGGGAGTCATTTGTTAAGGGCTCTTAGGCTGAGGCTAAGTGGGTGGGACGGGAGGGAGAGGGGATGTTAGTGCTGCCAGACGCAGCGAGCTCTCCAAAGTGGTTTGAAGATTAATAGAAAACTATCTGCAATGAAGGGATCTTTGGAGGGAGGGCTGGGTCCAGCCTTCACGGAAGCATAGAAAAGAGAAACTGTAACATTTTCACAGGTAAAAAGAACTTGAAGAGAAAGATTTCATTCAAAATTCAAAACTTGGGAAAAAAGGAGTGAAACATGTACAAACAACTCCTTCCTAGCACAAGGCGTTGTGCAAATAGCTTGGGTTACTCACGACAGATAAGATAAGAAAAGGGCATATTTTGCTTGACAGCATGAGGCTTTTTCAGTGAAATATTTTTTTTCTTTATGTGTGTTTGGCAAAATTATTTCAGGCTGCACTGAATCAATTTACCTTTGGTTGTAGGAAAAACAAAGGGTCTGCAGCTCCTGGAGTGAGAAGCAGATTTAGTGATCATGTTGGCGGTGGGACGGTAGGAATAACTCAGCCTATGCCGTGTACCCGACATGCACTGTGTCAGCAGTAAACACGGAAACTCCAATGTGTTTGCTCAAAAGGAAAAAAAGCACCTGGTGCAGAAGTAAAAGCACAGGGGTGGTAAAACATGATTCATGACAGTAGAAATGGTCTGTACATAACAACGGAGCATTAGGCCCTGGGAGCACTTAGGCAAAGCAAACAACACACCTTCTCAAGCAGCCAAGAGGAGGAACTGCTCTGAAACACTCTTTGGATGATAGATTTGCCCACTTGGCAAGCAGTGTGCACAACCAGCCAGCAGGAGAAAAGGGAGCAAGGGCATACCTTGGGAGATTGCTAATTTCTGGGAAAGGAGACAGCCTGAATAAGGTGAAAAGCAAACAGCATATTGTGGTATCAAAACAACTACAGTTTTCAGTCCTTTCCCAGGTGTTTTTTACAGGCATAACCATTCCTTTCTTCTCTCTCTCCTTTTTTACTGTTCTTCCCACCCCAAAAAGAAAGCTTGATCCAAACCTCCATCCAAAGCACAAAAGCAACAACCTCAGGGCATCCACATGTGCAAGGAAAAGTGTCTTAAGCTCTCAGTGACAAACCATAAATACAAGTATATTCTGCAGAGGATGCATTGCCAGTTTGTTTGAGATGTCCTACATAATAATTTATTCTTGTCTTCTGAGTCCTTTAGTCTGGGCATGTAAAACTTAAGAAGAAACCTTATATTGCCAAATCAGAGGTTGGTCAATAGAGAAGAGGGGTGGGGGGCGTCAGTGGGTGTAGAGGTAAGCACTCTAAATTAGAAGCCTACAAGTTAGAGAGAAAAATGTGGAGGATGGCAAAGACAGCAAAAGAAGCATCTTTGTGGTGGTTTCTGAAAGCAAACAGGAAGGAGACCTGTTCTACTTACACTGCAAACCAATGGGTGATTACAATCACTCTGTTCTGGATTTTTATTCTTGTTTATTCACTGTACTGGGCTGTGGTGTGTTAGGCACTGTACAAACACACCTGGAGCCTGGATCCTGGTCCCAGAGTGCTGGCAGCCCAAGTCTACTGTGCAAG